ACAACTATGGGTAAGATAGTGGTAGGTGGCTTAAGGTGCACATGAGCATACATTCCTACTTAAATTGGTGTCTTTAAGATATTATTTTGACCTTTAAGGCTAAATTTAGAGAATTATATGCGTTTATCAATAATATAGTGATTGATGTCATTTTCATATTTTTCAAAACATAAGGACATATTTGCATTTTATAGGTACTGTTATATTACTTTAAATATTTTATATGCCAGGTATCCAGTACTCTAGAGCAAGCATTAACTTGTAGAAATTGAGCCCAATGATAACCATTTAACTAGGTAAGCCTTCCTGAGATCTAAATTTCATCTGATCATTAGCATACCTTTTTGGATTAGTCCTTTCTAAAAAAATCAAATCTGTATCTGTTTTGATACCTGAGGAGAAAAATGAAATGGTACACTTTTCGTTAGTAATACAAGAACATTTCCAAATTGCTCAGAGGAAACTTCCCTGCCCCACACCCCTCTTTAGTTTGTTTAGATCAGCAGTTCTCAACTGGTGGGTTGCAACCCCTTTGGGGGGGTCGAATGACCCTTTCACAGGGGTCGCCTAAGACCGTCGGAAAACACATATTTCCAATGGTCTTAGGAACCGAGAAACGGCTCCTTTATCCGTCTCCAGGCAGGTCTGCCCACATACAGATATGCTGATCTGGTGAGAAAGAAGCTATCTCAACCTTTGCACTGACGTTGGCTTTTTACACATACACTTTCACACAGGTCACCCGATTCATAACAGTAGCAAAATTGCAGTTATGAAGTAGCAACGAAAATAATTTTATGGCTGGGAGTCATCACAACATGAGGAACTGTATGAAAGGGTCGTGGCATTAGGAAGGTTGAGAACCACTGGTTTAGATGATGAGGGTAGTTTGCTTGGTAGTAATAGGCATCCGAAACAAGCTGACCAACAGTCAAATAGGGTTTCCGCTCCTTTTCAGAACTGGCGGTTTAACCCTGTGCTGTTTCTCCCCAGCGCATTACGGACGAAGGCGTGGTGCAGATCTGCAGGGGCTGCCAGCGGTTGCAGGCTCTCTGTGTGTCTGGTTGCAGCAACCTCACAGACGCCTCGCTCACGGCCCTGGGCCTGAACTGCCCGAGACTTCAGTGAGTACACCAGGCTTTCCCCTTTACTGCTCAGTGCTTGGCAGGACTGGGGCGTGGCTGGGCTGACCAGGGGGGCTTTCTGGAGAAAGTGGCCTTGAAGGATGCGCAGGAGAGGAAAGGCTTGCCAGTACATGAGATAAGGTGATGGCGATGATGGCGATGGTTGGCTTTTGCTGGGGGTGGGAAAGGCCCCTTAAGGGGTGCGCCCAGGGAGTAGTGGCCTATCCTCCACCAGTGAGTGCAAACCTTCATCTCCTGACGGATTTCACGCATTTACCCACACGCATGGTCACATGCTGTGGGTCCGTCTCACCCTGAGCACAAGCTGTGAGTGTGAGCTCTTTCATAAGAAGAACAAGACTAACCCACCCCCCACCCCCAGCCCCACTGCGGCTGGGGCCATTCGGTTCACAGCAGCCCCGCAGGGTCCCCAAGCCGTGAGCTGTATGGGAGCGGACTGGGACATTTGTCCTCACGCAGCAGCTGGTGCATTGAAACCACACCCACCTTTCCCCTGTGAGCCAAGCAATGTCATCGTTGAGCCTCCAGAGCACAACACTAATCATAGGCAACGTCCCTGGTGTCCATATATGCCCCAGGGGCCAGGTTAGGTACTCGATAAGCATCTTACCATCCAGCCCTCGCTCTGCGAGACTAAGATAGGAGATGACACCACTTCCCGGGTCATTTGATGAGTATGAAGTAGAACTACAGTGTAAACCTGTGCAGTGTAACTACAGAGCCAGTAAGCTCAACCTGTATGCCAGAGGCAGGAATAAACGATTAATTCTGAACGGTTTAAACAGATCTCTCCTCATATATATATAT